ACTTGTATAGTGAAGTACAGTGTTTAGTGAGTGTATTGTGATTAACATTGAGTGTTAACTGTGTGGTGAATAAAGTACTGTCAAGCGTGAACAGGCATATAATTTCGAACCCCATCCCGACACGTAACAATATTATAATTGTGAAAGTTTGTATATTTTTTATTCAATCACGCAAAAATGGCTGAACGCATTTGGATGAAATTTAGCACACATATAATATATATATATAAAGTTAATGATTTTTTAATTTTACTTTAATGAAATGAACCGGCTGCATGGGCGCTTGCGTAAAATAAATTCAACTTCTATGCGAAAGCTATTCCAGTTAATCATTTATCTGTGTTCACTTTCTTCTTAACACTAATCATAAGGCCCGCGATTGGGTAAAAGCCAGTAAATCTCCGGAACCCGCTATAACTTACGCGAGGTTGGCGGGCCCCTAATTAGGGTGTACCACAAAAATTACCTTGTGCGTGTGTTATTATCATTGTGCTGTGTGGTACTTAAACGTGACGTCTCTAGAAGATATCTCTTTAGTTACGTATCCTTTCGTTTCCAGCTAACAAGTACTTAGTAATAAATTCTGTATTAAACAAAAAGGAAATTATTTATATAAATATAGATCAAAGAAATTATTATATATATAGATCAGAGAAATATATTTTTCTAAAAAAACGCAAAGGACAATGTTAAAATTGGCCTAAGAACCAACACCAATTTAGCATTTATGATAATTCTTAGTATATTTTTTGCGATAATTATCAGTATTTAGATTGTGACGGACACTTCCAGTTAAGTAAGCTAAATTAAAAAGTTAAAAAATAATTTTGAGAGAATAAATACCACTTTATGTGTATAATCTATGACAGCGCTGCAAACAAAACACTCTTTCTTCCTAATGCCGGCACTTCACTTGGCTATTCGTATTTGCTATTTTAAAGCTTGACATCAGTCTGTCCTATTCATTCCATATTAAGCAGGACAAGGACAAACTGTTGTCAAGTGAAGGGCCGGCATAAAACTTGCTACTCTGTGGTTGTGGTGCAGGCAGTTTGCATTCGTAGTAATCTGTGGCATTCGTGCATTACAAAGAGTATATGCCGGAAAGTGCATTCTCGTTTTGGATTACCTGTTGTGTGTGTTTATTTGCGATTGTCTTTCCTTTAATTTAACTATTTCGGCTATCTAATATGCCATCGATGTTACCAAAGAGCAGATACTTTATTACCAAGTGCTAGTGAACCTGTGCTGTGCCACAACATCCTGAGAGGATCATACTGCCAAATTATTCAAGAGCACCTGATACACATTTACGCTGCATATTTACACAATAAACATGGATATACAAATAAACACAATATACAATATGATACAATTATGTGAAAAATAGTCAATAAATAAGAAGCAAAACTACAGTTTTTATTTTAATCATGATTCCTACTTAACCAAGTTTTTCCTAATAGTTATTCTTTAAAATCGCACCGAATAAAATGAATTAGATGTAATATTAATTCACTTCATACTGAGTTCATACTAAGTTCATAGGTTGACGTATGTTTCATTGAATATTAAACATAACCTCAAAAAAAAATAGTTTTCCTAATAATTGAAGTTCTCAAAAGTGTCCGTCAATAATCTTTGTTTTTACAGTCATTTACTTGCGATTTCGAACCTAGAAAATAATATTTCATGATTGTTGGTTTTTAGGCTAACTATGTATGGACGCAGAACAATGTCCTTTGTCAGACAATCAAGATGGTACTTAGATACCTGAAGCGACATATCGAAATAAAATCATTCAATCTCTCTACAACACGGATATCAAATTAAAGGCCTTGATAAGCACATACCAGAACTATTAACTACATAAATCTAAATAAAATATTTACTAGAAATAATTCCACTCTGTCTAGGTTTCAAACAGGATACCCTGGCGTGACAAGCGGCGCAAGGACAAGGATAGACTACTGTCAAATTTAAGTTTAGGTTTAGAGAATCATGCCAGAACCGACACCAATGTTTATAAATATTAGAAACTTAGATAGGCTGTGCACGCTAAAAAAACATTTATTGCTGCAAAATCTATGGCGCTGAAAATAACTTGGTTCTTACATCAAAAGAGCCTGGACAGCTAGAATGACCTAGGGCTGTAGGCCAAAAACTTGTCAATTACCCTATTGGTATATTGTGCATATAGGTTTGTTGAGCTATTCGTAGTTCAGCCAGCTCCTAACAGAAGTGCAGGAGTCCCAAGAGGGACCCCTACAAGCTTCTAGGAGCGCTCTTAATGTTAGTAGCTAGATAAAAAGCGCCGTTGTTCTGCTCACAGAACACAGAAAGAGATTAGAAGGGTGATTATAAACCGTTTGTACAGGAACCGATGCCGCCGGCGCGCTCCGACAACACTTCGACCTAATAGATAATAGCCAATCAAATGACTCGACATCAAACAATCGAACTAATCAGCGCTCACACCCGAGAGCAACGGTGCAGTACAAAGTTTTGTTTAAGTTAACAGCATTTGCTCGCATAAAACTGTGGAGTGCCTGCCCCGCCCACAAGGTCCTTCTAACCTCTTTCTGCGTTCTGTGGTTCTGCCACATTTGTGCATTTTAGTGTCGCCGCACACGGGCCACACGCCAAAGCCACAAACGCCGCCACGAGAAGCTAGAAGCGGCTACTAAAGTGGCTCAAGCGTGCGACAGCGGTCGACTAAGGTATGAGAGAGAGGGGTGGGGAATCGCGCGAGTGACGTGTGGCGGCGTTTTGTATCGGCGCATTAAGTGGCCGGTGCGGGCCACAAGAAGCGAGCAACGACGATTTGCAGCGTGTGGCGGCCACCGGCGTACCGTGTGTGGCGAGTCCATATAAAATGTATGAAAACTACAAGAAATATGCCGGTGGCGGCGTTTCGTGGTTGTGGTCGGTGGCCCGTGTGCGGCAACACTTAGGATACCATGAGCGGTCATTTCTTCTGCTTCCAAACATCTTCTACAAAGAGAATTATCTTTAACACGGAGAGTTATGTAAGTAAATAATTGCTAAGTGGTCAGTGCCCTGTTACAATGACTTAATGGAACAAGGCATGTAATAACCATTTATATCTATGCCCTTTCTGCGTATTCCCGCTGCAGTGTCAACCAATAGAGACCGTCAGTCAGGTCACATCCGTCATGTTCGCGTGTCATCGCATGCAGGGTGTCAGGGTGTAATTGGCGCCGCGACTATGACAAATTACGCTGACACTATTAATTATAATACCTGGTAGCTAGTTAAACATAGAGGCATAACAACAAACGTTTCTTTGTTATCTTACTTATTTAGACTTTTATGAAAGGCAATCCTAAAATAAACTCGTTTTCATCCTATTTACTATCTGGGCTATGCTCTCGACTTCGTCCGCGTGGCTGTCGGAAAAAAGATTGATTTAAAGGTTAATTTGACCCAGGGATTACGCAGCGCACACAAAGAAAGCTCTAAAAATAATTTAATAAAATAAAAATATTTTCTTCCGCTTATTGCAATGTTTTTCATTGGGGCTCAGCTCCTTTTGGCAGCGTTATGTTATAAAGCCTTCCTCTATAAATGCACAATGCAATAAAAAAAAAATTAAGCCAGACTTGTAAAGGTATTCATTTGACATTGTAGTTTATCTACAATGCGAAGAAATGGCGCTGCCTTACAGCTTAAGAAACTTGAGAAAGTTCAACACGGCCATCAAGGCTGCGGTAGCATAATAGTCAGTGCATTCGCCCGGATAGCGAAGGGTTCGAGTCCCGTCTGCTGCCTGGCCCGCGAGGAATATTTTCTAGTAAAGTTTTCTTTAGATTTGAACTAATAGCAGTAAAATGCTTAAAAAATTAAAATATAACTATAAATACACTCGCGGACACATCTACCGGCCCACTTAGTGTTATAAATTTCAAGGGTCAGTAGCAAAAATATAATTAAGTTAGGTTGAGAAATAAAATATTTTTTTAAAAATACACGATAAAGTTGGTAATAAAATCAGCTTCAAAAGTACCTTAAAACTTTTCGCTCAATGTAACATTTATTTTTAGCTAGGGACCGTTAAACCCTTATGGGTCATAACTTAAAATGCTAGGTGAGGATATATGTGTCCTCGAACCGAACTAAATTCCGTTGAATTCTCTTTAAGTAATAATGGAATCATTGAATAGCTCCTCTTGCACCCTGCTCAGCTTCATGATTTATGTCTCACACCTAACGCGGGGACTCCGCATGTAAATATACCTACGCATATTAATATCTTTATTTTTCAGTAGTAGCATATATTGATAGTTCGATTATTACTCCCATACTGAACTGTAAACCAAAGAAAAACATAACTAAATTTTTTCAGACTTTTCTGAACTTCTAATATTTAATATCATATTTTACATCCAGCAAGGATTAAAATACTACTAGTATTTTAATCGTTGCTGGACAAGTAAAATACAAAATAATAATATAAACAATAAACAGAATATCACAGTCAATACCTTTGTAACTAGACTTCTCCCGTGACTTTGTCCGCTTGGTATTTATTATATTAAACGTCTGTAAGCAACCTGTAATGGTAATGGGCTTAATTTGACAGTTAAATGACAAAATTTCGTCTAAATCCATTCAGGCAATTTTTCCATAATTTAGGTAACAAAAAAAGTAGCATAAAAAGTTTTAGATTTATGATTGGTATAAATACCTATTTAAAATATTATAATTTTTGAAAATTATTTTTTATATCAGCAAGATGTACACCATTTTTTTGTCCCATGTTTTTTGTATCTTTTCTCAAACTAGAATAGCAGTTGCGTTCGAAAATTATTACTTTTCCTGTTTTAATTTTTAATCTGAGCCATCACTCATCCTTCACTATAATAACTTACCTCAGATTATCTTATAGAATACAGCGTAGCGAAATCCTATTTCCATGAAATATATCGAATAGATCTGATACTCACTTTGCTCAGTGCGTGCTAATCTTCAGCTATAGAATACTCTTTGATAATCATCTATCATTTTGTATTGTGTTGTGTACTTCTTGTGTACTTAGCTTTTATTTTTTATCGCTTTATTGAAAAAAATGCTCACAAAATGGTTAATTATCATATTAATTTTTATGATTGTCGCGGTTGCATCATTCGATAGAAATATCAACGTCGGCACCACACTGTTTTCTCGAGCGGATCTTAATAAAGTTGACTGGAGTGCCATAGAATTTGGACTGTTGAAAGCGAGAAGGTATTTTCAAGACTTACTTCCATCCGGCAGTTTCATTGACACAGCAAACGAAGCCTACGTAAACAAACTTTTTAAATACTTCAAAGATACATATTCAACGATAAAACGACAAACACCTAATGAGACGGCGAACCAAGTAATGACTATAGCCTTCTCAGATGCTGTTGGAGGCTATGTAAAGTTTTGGGCCCTACCTGTTACTAAGCGTGGGTTTTACGGAGGAACTGTCTCCCAAAACAATATTATGAAGCTATCGCAATTGTATAACGAACTGAAAAATTTTCTAGAGACAGATGGTGATGAATGGAGAAGCCCAAACAAGAACCTTTTGCGGGACACAACATTCAACGTTGCACCGCCTCAACATGTAAGAAGAAGCATGAAAGACCCTTGCAAGGAACTGGTTCTTGAGGAAAGCCCTTTCGGATTGATCATTCCAGTTCCAAACGTACATTGGGAAGACAGATCGAACACAATGTTCGTTCCTTTTAAAAAACAGTCCATCATACCTCTAGAATCCCCTGATTACCCTAACGCCCTGGTACAATACTATGATATTGCTAAGAACTGTATAGAAGAAAACAAACCTGATGCAATAAACGATTTCGAAGAAAGATTCCAGACATGGTTAACAAAGGAAGTTATGCCTCATCTATGTGACGAAAACATCTATCTAGCACTAGGAAGCGTATTAACATTGGTTAATAAAACACGAGATTTAGGTCGTAAATGCTATCATGCCATGAACAGTAAAATTGTAATAGCAGGTTTCCCAATCGATTTTTCCTCAAAGAAGACATTATTTATTCTTATAATTTTGATTCTTGAGATAGTTTGGTGTATTCCCGCATTGATATATTTAGCGTGTTCAAGAAAGTCAAAAAAACGTAACTTTGAAGTTTCAGATTGCTTATGTTCCACTGATTCTACTGACGACACACATGCTAATAACACGACAAATAAAACGTTTAATAACTTTATTAAGGGACTACGAAAGAAAAAGCGTTGCTTTAAATACACAGAAGATTCGAGTTCATTTCAAAGAGGTTTTAAATTGGAACAGAAACCACGAGCAGATATTGTTAATTTTGAGTCTGCCTCTAGTCCTCCAGAGCTAAAGTCTTCAGTCACTTCTAAAGCGGCAGTAAGTTTTGAACGCGAAGCTAAAAACGTTTCTTTGAAATCTTCCATGAAAAAAATATACAGTTCCCATACATCACGATCACAGTATAATGTATCAGTGAAACCAGGAAAATCTAAATTATCTTTGACAAATAGTAAAGTATGTGTTTGCTCTAAATGTACCATTTATGACAGTTTACATAACTCTGATAGTTCTGTTGTAGTAAAAAATCCCGTAGAGTCAAACGATCATTCTGTAGTGGAAACGTCATCAGAAGTTACTAATGTTATATCTAAGAGTGACACATATACGGTAAAACTAGATAAATCTAATAGTACTTCAGATAAACTTTCATGTAAAAAAGCACTGCAAGATCTAGACAAGGCGTTTCCTTGTTATGCTTGCTTAAACAATGAGAGTGAAAGCCAAATTACAATTCTCAATGAAAATAGATCATTGGCTGAATTTGACTTTGAAAAAAGTTTAGACGCAAATACGCAGGTGCATCTTCCTTTAGCCAAAGAAAACGTCAGTGAAAATCTTGGACTAAAAATAGATTCAGGGCAGCCATGTCTTGAGATAATGATCGAGAAGCCAAACACGGAAATCAGTGTGGGAATAAAGGGTATCTTCGATAATAAGCCCACTGTAGAAAAGCCAAGTAAAATTCCTAAGAGAGTTCCACAAACATTGACCCTCCAGTTGACGTGTCAATCGTCTAAGAAACAAGAAAATCGGCTGGCGAGTACTAACAAAAGCTTAATACCGCAACGAAAAAAACCACCAGTGGACGACATGGTGATCCAAGATAAAAAAACTACACACAAAGATAAAAATAAATTAAACGAAACTTTGTAATGTTGTAAATTAATATAAGTATCTCTAAAACTTTGAGTTGTTAAAATGGTATTATATTATCACCTTGAAAGTAATTAAACTTTGTAAATGTTTATTTGTAGTGTACATATTATTGCTCGGTTTGTATTATTTTGATATCCAATTTACAGTACTTCTATTCTATCTTATAGAGAATATTTCCTAAAGTGAACAAACAGAGTTTATGGAAATGTGCTAAAGTAAAGATATGTAATTTCAATTTTGCTCTCCGTAGGTCATGATCGAGTTAATAACGTTGCATAGGTATGAAACACCTCACATATAATATTCAAAATACTTAGGCTCATAATCGGAACGAACAAAATTAATACTTTATTATTAGCACGTACCACAATGCTCCATATGGTCTCACCCCTCACTAATCACGCTGATGAATTTATTGGTTCACCGGGTGAGTTACGCGCGGTCCCGCCTGAGTTATTGCATATTTCGGCCAGCTCAGGTGGCCCGGCGCAACACTAATCTGTCATTACGCCCGTTACCACTTAGCGGATTGGGCTCGGACTTCGGGGGTGGATTCGGTTAGACAAATCTCCAATTGGACTTTGACAAGCAATTGGTTAATAAGAGCGTGAGCCCTTTTGACTATTTAGTAGTGACGAATCTGCCATGATTCAAAGTAGTAACAACAAACAATATATAATAGAGACATTTTTGCAACAAAATCCATTATATCAAACATTTTTGGATTATGCTCCAATTCTCTAAAATGTTTTATCGCTTAATATGTCCAAATCGGTCCAATATTTTATTTTTGCACCCGGAACATCTTACTTATAAGTGGCAACACTGAACTGTACAATTTTTCATTCGCAATTTTTTGCAGGTGCAGCTGTAGTGCAAAACCTTAAAAGTTATTTTTTTTGTATCCGAAAAAGCCACCTCAGTCTTGAAATCTGCATAATGCATTAGGGTATTTAAGTTTTAATGTTATTAATTATATAATCATTCATTGTAAGTGGTTATTAATACACTTTTTATCAAGGAAATTACAAAAATTTTGTTTTGTTTTTCATAACATTATATAATCTTAGCGTTCTGTGTTGTGTTATATTGAAGAACCAACTGTCTATTAATTAGCACTTAAATCCTTAAGTTTTTTTTGTTCCTCTTAAGTATATTTAGACTTATGTGTTGGCACTCAAGGTCTATAACTTTAGCTACAGTAAAGAAAAATTGTATCGATGTACATGACTGTTTGTTGTCGAGAATAAAATAAAATAAAAAATCACTAAAGAAGGGAATATGTCTCTATAATGAATAAACCCGTAGATGTAATTCAATACGATTGGCAGGATATATTGGGATGTATTGATGTTCCTAAAAAAAATAGTACCCGCCGTGAAATATATTCCGTTCCTGGAGCTCTACTCTCTTTCTCCGAAACGAAATTTCGGCAACGATCGAATTTTAAACGAAATTCCGCCAGTGACTCTACTCTATTTCATCTTCGAAAACGCACATAAAGTACGGAATCACAGACAATTATCGTGAATGAATGGAATGAGTTATGTTTGTGAGTTCTTTTCATCTACACTTTTTAGATAACGTCTCTTACTTCAAAACAATAATAATTGACAACATTTTTGATTACATTAAAACAACCTCTTTTGACAGTGTTAGCCGACTAATTTGTAGAGTTGATGCAAGCGAATGCATGTCAACCTAAATTTGTCGTGTAACACGTGTTATTAACAAAAAAAAGATTTATTTGTAAATCTTTCTTACTAAAAAATGTTTCTCACGCTAAGCAGCCTTAATTAAAAATACTGTAGTAGTAATTTTAGGTTTAATTTAAACAAAAATCCCAAAACGAAAATGAAAAGGTAACACTTTTCATTTCGTCAATTTGAGGTTAAAATTTCGAACAATTATCTGTCAAATTCAACTTTTAGTTCGAAAGTTTTGTGAATTAGAGTAGGCTTAGAGAATTTAAATGTCAAACTATTTTGGGACGAACGAATTTTCAAAATGAAATAGAAACAGAGTAGGGAACGTGCGAAATTTCGATCGAAATTTCGTTTTTCGTTTAAATAGAGTAGGCCTCCTGAACTGACCGTTTGGAGGGTTTTTTTTTTCAATTATAATTTTAAAGTTTTAATTTTTGATAAGTTTATCTCGTTAGTTTATTTTTACGCGGCTGCGCAATGCAAGAGCGCGAAGCGCGACGCGGGTACAGGGTTATGTGTTTAACAGTCTATATATGTATGTTTGTTCCTTTGTGGCACACTAGAGACCAAACGCCTGGACCGATATTGATGATTCATACATCAATCGATTCGTCTCAATCATGGGAGTGCTACTAAAAGATAGTAATCAAAATTCAAAATGGGCAAAATTAGGCGCCATATTGTGACGAAGTAAAAAAAAAAGTTGACAAAATATGTATAACACAACGCTTTAAAGTTGTATATTAACCACTTACTCTTTTAATTTCAATCTTACGTTTGTATAGATCTTTGTTACTCTTTCACCTAAAAAATACTGAATGGATTTTAATGAAACTTTACAGTAATATAGCTCATATTTGATAATTACATATATATAATAATTTATGTAGTTATTGAGTGAATTGGCCAATATATAGCAATAAGTGTCACATAAGACGGAAAAAAATGTCCCATCTGCGAGCCATTTTGGCCTGCACTGCAAAAACAATAAAAGTTACATGAATGTAATGTAGAGTGAAAATGTATCTCTTAAATAGTTCTAAAAAAAGTCCGTGACACCATATATCTATTTTTAATGTGTAAGTCATTACCGCTAAAATAGAGAATCAAAATTAAAATATTATTTGATATCTATTTCCAAAATGCACATTTTGTATTAACAAATCATTTTTTATCAAAACAATCAAATCAAAACAAAAACCCACTGTTGAAAAATATTATGTATTCTTGAATATCTAATGGGTCCCGACTGTTAAAGTAGCTTTGTTCCTTATTAACAGAATTATAGACTACTGGACTTGTTTTTTTCTTTTCAGTTTTTATTTGAAGAATAATTAAGCAGTCGGGTTTTTTGTGTAAACAATATTCATAATTCCCTTTTTTTGGAGCAAATATGGTAAGCAAAAGCAAGCAAAGCAAAGTAGGACCATTTTACCGGTATCTCAGAAAAATGGTTGTCACAAACTATACTGAATTTATTGAATTTTAGCGGTTACAAGATAGCATCTAATTTGAATGTAACTCCTCTCTTCTATCTCTCATTTAGTTGCGTGCCCGACAGGGTCAATAATAAGCGTATTTTGTCATAACTTATATTTAACATCTTTTTGTACATCGCGGATATGCAATAAAGAAATTGAAATTAAAAAATAACCAGTCTAATCTGCTTATTTTTCTGTGTACCCTTGTTTGTTCCTTTGAGCGTACAGTGTCATTAGAAATGTGTCGTCAGACGAAGTTATTAAATCGTGTTTTTATAATTACCATCATTGATTGTTCGAATGTTCGTGAATGATCATTAGCAAAGGCACTTTCCTTCAGTAGGCCTATTCGCTTACTGCTTTTGACAGATGGAAGTGATCATCACCGAGCTATTTAGTGATCAACTACTGCTTTATTATAACATCATCATCATCATCAAGCCTATTAATGTCCCCCCTATTAATGGCCCAGTACGGATTGGCGGATGCTAACGACTGTAGATGCAGCCAGGACCAACGGCTTAACGTGCCTTCCGAAGCACGGAGGAACTCGAGATAGAAGATTTTTGGTCACCCATCCAATGACCGACCACTGCAAAAGCTGCTTAACTTCAAGGATTGCAGCCGAACGCGCTAACCGCCCGCGCCATCGAACGCCACTTAGATACTTGTTCTGAAAAGCATCGATGGATATGCAATTTTCTCTTTAGTTACACACTGTAAATGTCAAAAAAGTTTGCGAATAAGCCAGCAGATGTCTCAAATCGCCTTTCCGATTAAACACTCTCGGTGACCATAAATTAAGGGGAGCGCGGGACAATTTGTTCCGTTAATCCCGTGTCGATCGTGGATTATCGGGTTCAATTGGTAGTAATCCCACAACACTGGCACCGGACTGTCTTGTCCACTATTTATTATGAGCTGGCCACCCCTCTCGATTTATCTTGAAAGTTGTAATTGATTTAAATATCCCATAAGTTTTGAGTAGATTAAGGTAACTAAACGGATTTATTTATAGTTGTAACTTAATTTCATTCAGTCATATTAAGGACAATGCTCAAAAAAACCCAGGCCCCGCGAAAATCAAATGTAGCTCAAGTTATTACTAAAAATGAGAAATTAAATACTGCATAGTTCGAATCTTCGAAATATTTTTCTCAAAGTGTGAAATTGCTAATCGAAACTCTGTAAAGGTAACATTTATGGTTTTTAATATAATGATATTAAATCATGGAAAGGGAGTTAAAGAGTATTTATCCTGTCAGAAAATGCCTGAATTAATACTGTTTCAAATAACTTCGTCCCTTTTACATCATTTAGTTATGTAGTTATTGCAAAAAAATTAACAAGTGTGTGTGTGCGTTTTGTTTTTTTGATATAATGTTGTTCATTACAATCGGTTAATTAGTTAGAGCTGTTAATCGAAAAACAAAATTATAAATAAGTCTTCCAAACTATCCATACTTATATTATATATGCGAAGGTGTGTCTGTCTGTTACCTCCTCCCGCTTAAACCGCTGAACCGATTAGCTTGAAATTTGGTATAAAGATATTTTGAGCACCGTGGAAGGACTTAGGATAGTTTTTTATCATAGAAATCATTCTTCAGGAGGGTGAATGGGGGTGTGAAAGTTTGTATAGAAAACTTATATTTCCACGAATACGAAGTCGCCGAAATCCACTAGCAGTACAAAATATTTCATAATTTTTAAGGTTCTTTCAAACGAGAAATCTGCTAGTTCCTTTTAATTCGCCTGCGCCATTCATAATCATGTTTTGGCTCTGCTTAAAATGTATCTTTTTGATGAGAGCAATACATCTTTCAATCTGAATTTTCATATTTTATCCGTTCACAATCAATTCGAATACCACCTTGAGCATGATCATTAATATTCCTTAAAACACATATGCTATAGACGGTCATAGAAGAGTATAGAATGTGCCAATGTATGCCTAATACATTGGCACATTCTATACTCTGTGTATATCTTCGCTCCTCCGTGCTTCGTAAAGGACTATAAGCCGCTGATCCATTTGCATCTGGAATCGTCGAAACAGACCCCACCAACACG